ATGGTTTCTGTGTACAGTGTTAAGGATGGTTTCTGTGTTTCAAGTTAAGGATGGTTTCTGTGTACAGTGTTAAGGATGGTTTCTGTGTTTCAAGTTAAGGATGGTTTCTGTGTACAGAGTTGAGGATGGTTTCTATTTACAGAGTTAAGGATGGTTACTATCTTAGGACATCATCGAAATTTCAGTTATAGACACTGTACACTGCACGCAACACGCGAGTGCACGTCATTAGCGTGTGCACGTCACTCGCGAGTTTTTGGAGGAAGGCATCATATGTACTCGTTTAAGAGTAGGTGCTTCAGGGCAAGTGGTAAATTAAGGGACGTGGCCAGGCCCTATGACTCGAACTCTGCAGCCACATATTTGTGAGCACAAGCAGATTAGACGAACAACATTGAACACCAGGTTGGCAGGATTAATATGTAAACTATGATTATATAGATAGAAGGAAAATGCTGATAACATTGTCTTCTCAACATATACTTAGTATAATGTTAGGCTCATCGATACAGACTATGTACAGCCATGTACATAGAATATACAAGTGAATCCTGGGGAGCTATAATGAAACAGAACAATAAGAACAATAAGAACACTAAGAGCACTAAGAACACTAAGAACAATAAGAACAATAAGAAGAGCTAATGAGCCTGTTCACTGAAGGGACCTGAGCTGGGGCTTGACACAACTATACCGGTGCGAGACTCGTTTATGTACACAGAGTTGGCCCCTGTTACATATATAGAAATTTACCTAACTGATTCGTATTAGGCCGGCATGGTCAAGTGGCTAACACACTGACTTGCTAGTTTTAGGACTGTCTTGCCATGGGTTAGAACACTATTTCGTTCAGAGAGTTGTTGATAATGGTGTCATTAAAACTTCAACTGGGTCTTGCCAGGGAGCTGTCTCTGGTTGATTATACGTTGACTGAATCACACTGGAATTCTTCCCGGATCAAACAGTTTATCCAGTGACTTAGGAACTTTATTCCTAATTGATTTAGGCTAAATTATTTTGTTAAAAGAAAATGTTCACTCGGTGAGAGATGACGTTGATCACAGAAGTATTTAATACACTCCGCAGTAAAACTCCTGGAAACTACATACTTAATTCACATTGTATTGAAGCGTTATGAATTTCAAAACCCGTATGGTTCATTCATCACAAGGAGTGGTGGAGGATCGAGCCTCCGTCTGCTAATTACGACTCTCTCGTAATTCAAGCTGTTGTTAATCGCTGGCATATTACTTAATAAAAGAGGCGTAACTATGGTTACGTAACAAGTTAACGACAGCTGCTGTTTTCAAAACACTGTATCAAGCGGGCAACTGGTGCCCCATGCATTTTACACTGAGCTGAAGTGTTCTAAATCACTAGATCTTGGTGTTAGAGTGAAGAGACTGCTGCTTCTTCATGGACATATTGTAGGGAACGATATTTTGACTGTTACAGTTTCGTGACAAATCTGGACATAAGAAAAGACTTTCTCTTCCACTTTCAAAGTAACAGTCATTTGATTATGAAAAAGATATACTGACTTTATACACACATACACATGACATGATGCCATCCTCTAACTTCTTCTGACTGCTTGCTCCAAACACCTCTTAAACTATCCACTTTCCTTTGCTTGCAAATGGGCTAATGTCTTAAGAAAGTCTAGCCATGTAACCTAACCTACCATTCCTAGTAATGTTAACTCCTTTCTATCTCTCTCTTTATATAATATATATATATATATATATATATATATATATATATATATTATATATATATATATATATATATATATATATATATATATATATATATATATTGCCGAATAGGTAAAACTGGCGATTTTGGCTTAAATAGCAACGCTCTTCTTGCCGAATGAAGCAAACGAAAGTTTGTGTATACAATAATTTCGCAAAAATCATTCTGAACCTAACGAAAAATATATTTCATTGTGTTTGTTTTATTATTATAAACTTATCTAAAATATATTTAGTTGGGTTAGTCTAAATTAAATTGAGCTTGTTATAATAAAGTTAGGTAAATTTTCTAAGGTTCCTTAGGTACAAAATTATTAATTTTTACTTTAACATAAATGAAAAAATATATATTTCAACTTATATGAGAAAATTTTAGAAACGACTTAATTTTAAATGAGTTCTTGCTAATTGACCAATTTTACCTAATCGGCACATTATATATATATATATATATATATATATATATATATATATATATATATATATATATATATATATATATATATATATATATATATATATATATATACATGTGTGTGTGTGTGTGTGTGTGTGTGTGTGTGTACATTCACAAAATCGAAGCATATATTTCTCGTTAATCTGAAATGTGTCATCTTTTTTATTATCTATTATTCTGTCCTGAAAATGTCAGTAAAATTATGTGTAGCTCCATGTTGCTGACAATGTGATGTTGCTGACAGTATGGTGTTGCTGACATTGTGGTATTGCTGACAGTGTGGTGTTAGCAGGTAGTGACTTTGTTTACACTGCTTCATGGCGGCTCGTTCGTGTCTCGACGCTGGATCCTTGTGACGTCCTCAACCCTTAAACCAAAAAAAAAAAAAAAACACACACCCTAACACATAATTAATTGTTCAAACAATCCATTATTACATCCACTAATTTTGGGCAGATTACGCTTGCTTATGATGCTGTCTCAAAATTCCATAGTACTGTAATAATGATAATAATGATAATAATGCTTAAACAATAACTATAAACCATAATCATAAAATAATAATAACCTATAAATTTCTTACATAATTTCCAAAGTTAATGTAACACAGGATTTATAATGCGTTTAATCGAATGTGCAAACTCGGTGCATACACGAACGGGCCCAGTGCATTCCTTCCAGTTAAATCTTCATTTCTTCCCAGACAGCTCTTGGCATCTTCTGACCCGTTCGTGCATGGTGAAGACGCAGCCGGATTTCTCAGTGTTTACATGTGACCTGACACTGGCCAGAGATCAGAGCACGTTTATGTTCGGGGGGGATTTTTGTTTTTATTATGATATTTATTATTATTAACTGGTAAGGATCATACAGCACCTGCAGAGTTTAATCCTAATACGAAGTGAGTG